AACGTTTTGCAAAAAATATTAAAAAAATGGAATGTTAATTAACATTCCAATAAAAAAAATTTAACGAAATGTTTTGTAAAAAAATAAAAATATTAAAAATCAGAACATTAATTAACTAATGGTCCAATAAAAAATTGAAAAAAAAATTTTTGAAACGTTTAAAACTGTTTCGTTTAGAAAAAGAAAAAAAAATTTTTTTTTTTCAAAATAGTTAAATAGTTTAAACTATTATTTAATAGTCTAAATTTGGTAATAAATCAACTAATTACTATGACTGCGGCTTAGTACACTGATCTGCCGTTATTGATATTAATTCATATGTGCCGATTTTTGGAATTAGTCTAAATTAAGATTTTTATAAAAATTTAATATTTTAGTAAGATTAACATTACACAAATCTAAATTAAATATGTGTTACATATTTACGTAACTCAGATTTAATAAAAAATAAAAAAAATTTTTTTAATCAATATTCAAAAATAACGGTAATAACCACTTCTTTTTCCCCATCACTGCCCATCACTTTTCCATTATTTTTCTATTCACTTTTATTAAATATGACAAAAAAGTTTATAAGCAAATATAGCAGTTATTTTTAAGTGGTAAGTAAAAGAAAAAACTTAATATTTTATATACATAGATAAGACATATTTTTTCATAATTTTTAGCTTTAATTTATTGTTTTTTCTTTGTAAAAAATACATGCAAATAAAAAATAATTATGATGTAAAATAGTTGTAAAATGAATAATAAGATATTCTTTTTTTTTCAAAATAACTAATTATATATTTGTTTTTTATCTTTTAAAATTATTTTATTAGATTTATTCTACTAAAATCCTTAAATGGCAAATAAAATCTTTTAAATAAAGTAAAAGAATTTGGGATTCTCTTATGAAAGCATTTTTTGGTAAGAAATAAAATTTTCAGATCGGACTTTATGCAGGTGACAAAATCGTGCATTATTATTCCTGGAGATATGCTAACGTCATCATTTTACATTCATTTGAAAGCTGAGAATTTGCTCTATCGTAAGAATCAAAGATCAGGAAAATTGGATCACTGGATGAGGCGTAATTAACGATCAAAGTCAAATCAAATTTAAAAATTAAAAATAAATATATTAGACGTAATTATTCACAATCCAGTGATTCAATTCATTCGATTTTAGGCTTATTAGATAGACCTCAATTTTCTCTTTCAAATGAATATAATTTCATTCGTGTAGCTTGCATCTACAGGTATTTAATAAATTTTTTTATATCAGATTTTATCAAACTTATAAAATTTTATATTAATAATATAATTGATGATTCCTAAACATCTACATATATTAAACGAATTATTTTAAATTTATTTTAAAGATAAAAGTTGGCATCACCTTAGGGAGCAAAGATCATTCAAATTGAATCACTACATGTGAAGTAATTAATGATCAAATTTAGATAAAATTCAATAAATATACTGAACGTGACTACTGAACAACTAGTAATTCAATTCACTTGATTTTAGATTCATTAGATAGATCTCGATTTTTTCTTTCAAATGAATGTAAATTTATTTGTATAGCTTATTTCTACAAAGAATTATCAATGATTTTGTCATGAGAGTTATATTTGATCTTTTAAATTTTAATGATATCTTATATTAAAAAAAATTAAAAATTATATAATTAATTAGTTTTTTTTGCATTATCTAGTATAAATTTATTATTCTTATATAAATGATAATTTATATTTACTTTAATAAAATTATTTTTGTGTAAAAAAATTAGATTCCAAGAATTGGCCCATATGTAATTATAAAAAATCGGTTAAAAATCGTCAAAAAAGTTTTAAGTTGATTGTTATTGTTAATAAAAATCAATAAAAAATAGTATTGGTCGATTTATGGATTTTTTTATGTTACAACTCAACCAAAAATTGACCAAAAATCGACCAGTTGATTTATGCTAATTTTTTTTTAATTTTTGTAATTGGCCGAATGTTTGACGAATCACGTGATGATGATGACAAACTTTTGACGAAAAGTATTAATGCCGAAAGAAATGATTTCGACCAGGTAATAAAATTAATATAAATTATTTATTTTGATTAATTATTTAAATATTAATATGTAATCATTTTTTATATAGAAATTTATAAATAATAATAGTTAAGAATTTACTCTGTTGTAGTAGAGTTAAATAGTTTTAAAGTTTATATAATATAATTGTTGTAATAATGCATTAATATTAATAAATTTGCGAAATTTGCTAAATAAATTATACATTTAACTAAATTAATAAATTAAAAATTTTAAAAATCTGGTTTGAAGTCTGTAATCCTAAAAGTAAAAAGTAAACCGTCTATAAAAAGAAGATAATAAAGAATGTTAATTAATGTTTTTAAATTAAAAAAAAAATAAAAATTTTAAAAACAATAATATATCTCAATAGTAGATATATATTCTAATATTTAAATCAAGAAATTCAGCATTTCAGCTGAATAAACATCTAAAAAAAAGAAATTTTTAATTGACAAAGATATTTTTGACTTTTGCAACAGGTCAGATCAGGTCAGATCGGATATCTGATTCAACCTGTTTCAGGTCAACTTTTTGCCTAACCTGAAAAAATCAATCAGATCAGGTCAGATCAATTACCTGACCTAACCTGACCCATTCAAAGCTCTAATTATAATCAATATAATTTAATATAATTCCAGTTTTAAACTCAATTTTTATTCTTTCTTGGGATATTTAAGTCTATTATAACAAAATATCTTAGCGAAACAAAATACTAACAATAGACAATTATTTCTATCTTAAATACACAAATCAAAGTCAATTATATTTTATGCATGCATTGCTACAGAAATCATGACAATCATGTAAACGTAATAAATAAATTGAACAAGATTCTATTTGATTATTTCCTACAACTGAAGTGAATGAATTTATTGGTAAACTTCGAGAAAAATAAGAAGAATGTGGATTTGATTTAGCTTTTTAGACTAATGTCATGTCTGCCTGCACAGTTAAAGCTTTGAAAGTAAGCTTTGAAACGGTTTTGGGAACAAATTCCACAATAGCCTAACAAACAATACATTGATGAAGTAAAAAATGATGAACACAAGGTTGAAAAATTTAAAATTATGATCAAATTTATTTACTGCTGTAAAAAGGACATGTTACTCATACTGTTTTTTTTTACATGACATAGGAAGGATCTTCTTTCAGAATTTTACTCAAAAAAAAAGACAAAATAAATTATGCATGTCATCATGCTCGTCAGAAGAAAAAGATTCTGATTAATAAGGGACATATCTGTATATAATGGCAGTTCATCCTTATCCTTCAATCTCAAGAAATCCAAGATATCAGATATACTATCTCATAATGTAGAGTCTGTTATTACCTCACATTGTGAAGTATTTACATTAATAAAACGCCTTGACTTGTAAAAAAAATGCCAAGAGAAATCATGATTTAGACTGATATCATACTGTTATTTAGCCACAAATATAAGCGGATAATGCATTAAATTCTTTTTCAATCTTTGATTTACAGATATGTAAATGGTGTTTACAATGAGAAGCAGAAAAAAAGGAAAATCATAACAAACATGACAGCAGGAAAAGTATTAATCAACACCTATAAAATATTAGGCCATTTTATTGTGAGAAAATTTATCAGTCTTTTTTAAAGCTTTGAAGTAATTTTTAAGTAATCACGATCACGTTTATCTTCTTCTTTATCAGGGCGGCATTGTTAGATTAACATCTTCACTTACTATATGACTGATTAATTTAGTAAAGTCATCTTTAGATATTACTTGAGAAAATTTAATAGACCTTAGTTGACATTTTCTTGTATGATTTTTTCACATAATCGGTCATCTTTATGTGTTATAAATTACATACAGGATGAAAAAATTAAATTATCTGGTGACTGGTGCATCTGCCTGATAAATTGCAAAAATAGCTTCGTTTCAATATGAAATAATGAACAAATATGCGAATAATTTTTTTAAAAGTTTATTATGATGACAAATCTTATTTATTTACTATTGCTATATATACATTACTATTTTAGTTATTTCGTATATTATAATTTTATGCGTTAGATCATTATTCATCTGTTAAAGGCTCAAATTAGTTAATTCAACATAATTCTTTTTTTGTTAAATATAATTTGTCTAAATTAACATAACTTGAATTTATTCAAAAGATGTAATATAATATAATACATTCAATGAATGAAAATAGAATACAATACTGTACATACAATATATTAAAACTACAAAGCTAAAGATAAGAAGTATTACCCCTAGTAGCAGATAATAATTAAAGAAATAATAAGTACTGTTATATTAGATGAAGAAAAAAATTCACATGATTCGTGACTTTTTAATGAACAATTCTTATTTTATATTTACTGTTTATTCATTGGATCAATTCTGCTCAAAAAACAAGCAAATTAGTATATTTTAACTAAGACGAAATATTATAAAATACTTTCAATTTTTATTCTTATTAATTTTCCATATTGATTATTTTTATCATAATCATGAAAACTTCCTTCTATTTTAGTAATTTATTGTAATCAATCTAATATTACCATATCTAAGGAGTCTTTAAAATGATTTATTTATTCTTACATTTTAAACTTGTTCAAAGTATACAAAATAAAGAACTAATATTTAAAAATAAATAAAATAAAAATAATAGATATACTGCATTTTTAAAAATAAACTTTATATGACTATTGTTGACTCAAAACTAATGGAAAAATATTATATTCACCAGAAACAAATAAATAAGTGGCTTTTTAACAATTGGTATTACAGAGATTTTTTTTGGACATTTTCTACCCTTAAATTGCCCCCTCCCTCCCAATTAAGTCTAATCTTGTTATGTTAAACAATATATCAGATTTTGTGTAGCCTTATGTTAGACATGCAATATAAAATCATTTTTTTTAACCTTCAGATATCAGTTTTATTAAACATTAATAATACCAATGTCTACCATGCCTGAAAGTGCTAATTTAATGCCATTTGTCTGTAAATGGTCATATTACCATTCAGAACCACAACAATTTGAAACCCAGGAGGAACTTATAAATCACATCGATAAACACGACATCAATTCATGCAACAGAACATTAAGAAACCCAATTTATATATGTCCGTGGAAAGGTTGCAATAAGCATAAAAGCAGTATTATTAAATTAGAAGGTATGAAAAAAATGTCGAGTACTTTTGCCCTTGCTAGTTCTGCCAATACTGTAGGAATCATAATAATTTGTTGTTGTATCTTGTAGAACATTTACATAGACACATTCGACAAAGACCATTCAAGGTAATTTCAAAAAATATTTACCTATTTTTTTTGTAAACACAAGGATGATTGTGTTGAACTTTTTTATATTTAGTGCCCAATTTGCACTTGCTTGCGATTTTGTTCTCTTGATGCGCTAAACCATCATTTGATTATCAATCATAATGATAGCATTGTGAACTTTGACACCGATGCTGATACAAGTGATGAAAATGAAGAATTGAATTTAGGTATATTATATAATTTAGTGTATTAGTTGATAAACCTTTGATCTTGCACATCTTTTACAGCTTTTAAAAGGTAATCTATTTACCAAATAGATGGTAAATAATGTCACTTTCGTAAAAAAAAATAATGTAACGAGTACTTATCACTTATTATTTTATCACGATGATTTATACCGTCTCTACTTTATTGCGAGTTATACGAATAATAACAAAATATAATCAGTTTATATAAAAAAATATCCTTATTATTACACATGATGAATTATATTTTTACTTGTCTTAACATATTTTCTTTTCTTGTTAAAGCACAAATCAAAGACAAAATCGATATTCATGTGAAAAAAAAAGGTGAAACTACCACTTATATTAAAGGAAAAGACAATAAAAATGAAATCATACCAATGGATAATACCGCAAAATTATCTTATCGTGATGTTCTTGTTAAAGGTAGTGTTTATATGAACCAGCTTAATTAATAACAAAATATCATTAGTCTATATAAAAATATCCTTATTATTACATATGATAAATTATATTTTTATTTGTCCTAACATATTTTCTTTTCTTGTCAAAGCACAAGCCAAAAACAAAATCGATATTCATTTGAAGAAAGAAGATAAAGCTACCAAAGGAAACAATAAAAATGAAATCATACCAATAGATAATACCGCAAAATTATCTTATTGTGATGTTCTTGTTAAAGGTAGTGTTTATGCGAACCAGCTTAATTAATAATAAAATATCATCAGTTTATATAAAATATCCTCATTATTACACATGATGAATTATATTTTACTTGTCCTAACATATTTTCTTTTCTTGTCAAAACACAAGTTAAAGACAAAATCAATATTCATGTGAAGAAAGAAGATGAACCTACCACTTATATTAAAGGAAAATACAATAAAAATGAAATTATACCAATGGATAATACTGCAAAATTATCTGAAAATAAAAATATGGAAGATAAGGATTATATGGATTTTATAGATAGAAATAATAAACATCAGCAAACTGTGCAGGAATTATTGTTTAAGGCAATGGAAGCTATCTCATTATTACCAAGAAGTATAGTCAAATATGATTTAGATAATGAAAACTATGATGATTTACCTGATATGCCACAAGAAGATTTAACTGAGGAACAACAGGACCAACTTATTTTGAAGTCATTATGTGAAGCCTACAAAGGTACAAAAGCTGGTGAATATTGTAGTAAAGCTTTTGAAATGCTGAAAGAAGGATGTTAAGAATGGATTCTTATACTATTGGTTGCAATATTCTCTTTATACATTGACTTTTTTTTAATCGCAATAAATTTATTAGTTCAGAATACGTGATATTACCACATTTTAATGTAATGCTATACAGCGATGGTCACATATAATGCGGATTTCCTTTTAATTTTATAAAATGTTTCCTTATGATCAATTATTTATGATTAGTTTTAGCAATTATAATTATATGTAATTTTACAAGAAAAGAGAAAAAATCAAAAATTTATAATATTCTTAATAATATGCAAAAATTTTTTAAGGTATAATTTTAATATTTAGCATTTTTGATATAAGCATATTATATTACTCTTATATATTAAGTGAAAATTGTTTAGCAGGGCTAAAACTACTTGTATCTTAATTTTCATTATATTCCATTTAATATTTAATAACTTATATAAATACTAACTTTGAATTTATTAATTTTTCTGTTTAGTAACTTTAGAGTGTAATTTAGCACTTTAATCATAAGAAAATCTATCACCTTTATGTATTAAGTGAAAATTGTTTGGTAAGAACGTAAGGTTGAATCTATATATAATTCAAATTTCATAAGATTTTAATCAGTATATATAAGAAATTAACATTTATTGTTTATATATCTATTTATTAATAACTTTAGAGCATAATTTGGGTATATTAGTTATATAACAATTGCCTTTGTATATTAAGTAAAAATTGTTCAGTGGGATTGAAACTATCTGTATATTAAATTTTTGTGATTTTTTATTTAATATACATGAAGTATTTTACTTTTATTATTTTTAATATAAAAAATATTAATTTCAAATGAAAATCTTTCTTAATATGTCACTTTAAGTAATGAATTTTTTTTTAATAAAATTGTAAGGATGGCCAATAAGTTTATTTTGCTTTTAAATCAAAGTATTATATTATATAAATATAATACTACATTAACCTGTATATATGTATTTTTTCAAAATTTAGGCTGGTGTTATGAATTTAATTAGAATTAAGAAAAATTTAGCCAGAATTAAAATTTGAAAATCATTAATTTTTCAAATTATATAATTTTGCTGACAAATTCATTTTTTATGTATAGTATTAGAAGTTTATACTCAACAATCATATGATTTTATTTTAATTTTCTGAGCCGATTCTATATCATGTAATCTGGAATTCAACCAATAAAAAACTGGAATTTCTCGTATAAAGTACTAATAAAATGCAGTCTTTAAAAAATTTATTATGATATTACAAACAATATAAAACATAAGAAAAAATGGATATTAGCAATAAATTACAACTACTATTTCATAAACGTCATACATTAATAAAAATTTTTTTTTAAAAAAAATTACATTTAATTCATATTATGATAATTCAGGTTGGCATTATTACAAATTTATAATGCATGGAGTTGATCCAATTTATCATAAGTTCTATCCAATATATTTTGTTTCAAATTTGGCTGATTATATGAAAATCATGCAATTTCAAATGCTTATAACTTTTTACTTTTAAAAATCTGACCAGTAATTTGATAGAGCTTACCTTAAAGTATAAAGTTATCAGTTTATTTTTTTTAAATTGTATTTTTTTTAAGAACTTGAAAGTTTTTTAAGTGTTACATTTTTATTATTAAGTATAGACTTCTGATACTATATAATAAATATACTATAAATAAATGCAATAAAATATTGAAACTTAATACAGTCAAAGCTTGTTATAGTGAACCCTTAGTTTCAGTCATTTTTGTTTACTATAATGAATATTTACAAAATCGAAAGTTCTCTTTATAGTAAACTTTATATTAGCACAAAAAAAAGTTTCTTTCAACAAAAGTTTTTTGAATTTTATTATTAACAATTATGTATTTACATATTTCAAGTATTTAACATAAGTTCATATAACTATCTAATGTAAACTGCTTTACATTATCTTGAATTTTTGTTGTTAATTTTTGATTTTAAAATATTAAGAGATTTCAATTCTGTGTAATTAATTGTAATATCATCAGGTGGATTTTTAAAATAAAGAATTACTTTTTCTAAACTATTCAAAGCCTCTTTATTAGTAATAATATTTATTTCAGATTATTCATCCTCTTCTGTATTATTGTTTTCAGGATTTGAAATTACCGCATCTATAATTTTTTTATCTGATAATGATTCTATTGGAATCTCGTCATTAATACAAATAAACTCCTTAGCTGTAATAGGATTTTGTAAATTTAATTCATTAATAATGTCTTGTAATTCTAAAGTAATTTTATTGATATCATCATTAAGGCTAAGTAAATAAAATCATTCGTTTCGTGGGTCATGTAAATGTTAAAAAAAGATAAAAAAATTTATTTTATTTAGTCATATGATTTTAGTTTTGACCAATCATAATCATAAAAAAATAATTTTTTTTTCCACTGGCAAAAAATTTATTAAATCAACCAATCAACTTCTAGGAATCAGCTAAATTTTTATTGAAAAATAAATTTTTTTCTGGGCGCCCGGATCAAATTTAGCAATTTTTTTTCATGAGAAACGAATAATTTTATTTCTTTGGCCTAATAGTATTTTAGCCAAAATCGTCTTCTAAATTTGGTAAAATACCCGTTTTTCTCCAGCAATTTTTAATTGTACTTGATTTTACTATTTTCCATATCTCACTTAAGGTTGCCTGCCTAAACCTCTCCAAAATTCTACGATTAGTTTCTTCAAGATTTCACTATAGTTTTATTATAGTTTCGGCAAGGTTTTGGCAGTTTCGGCATTTATAATAAGTTTCATCAGGTTTCACTTTCTTCCAGAGTTTTGCCAACTTTTTAATAAGACTTTCATATAGTTTCGGCAAAGTTTCGCTATTTGGCATTTCACTAACTTGCCAAAACCCCCTAGTTTTTCCAGCAATCTTAACCTCACTTGCAAATGTTATAGCATTAAAAATATCAATTGGTGTTATATCTGAACTATTTTCTTAAGCCATATCATATGCCTCCACCCTATTTGCGACCAAAAGTTTTTTATACTGGGCCTAAAAAATATCTAGATAATAAGATATTAAATTATAACAAATAATATTAATAATTGGTGTATTTATTCTTACTTTAAAACTGTTAATAATACCAGCATCTAAAGATTGCAAGTGAGAAGTTGTATTTGGAGGAAGAAAATGCACTTTAATATTCGATAATTGTATAGTTTCATTAATTAAATATGTGGATGTATTATCCACTAATAATAAAATATTGCGATTTTATCGTCTCATTAATTGATTAAATTTATTAAGATAATCATGCTATACTGATACTTGCATTCAAGCTGTACGGTTCCAATAATACCAAATGGATAAATCATCCTTTTTAATTCCCTTTAAAACACGTGGAGTCTATCACTTGTGTATTACTAATGCAAGTAATTTATGACTACCATCAGCATTACAGGTTAAAACAATTGTAATCCAATTTTTTGATTTTTTAGTGCCAGAAATATAATGATCTGAAAATATCTTAGATGGTTCTAAATTCAAATATAAAGCTAAAAAATACAAAATGATTACAATTAATAATAATAATAATACATTTTATTTTTGGCCTCACTTCTGAATTCCTTCATCATTTACTTTAATGAACTAATTTGGTTGCCTAGATGTAATTAAAGCTCTGAACAGGTCAGTTTGGTCCAGATTATAGATGGTTCAGATTAGAGCTGAAATCTGTAAGAACTGAACTGAAAACTGGCAGTTTGGTTCAGTTTAATCCAAATTTTATAAAAATGCGAAAAATCAAATAGCCGTCCATCTAGTGATCGTATAAAGAGGACCCCGGATATCTAATATAAAGGTCATAATGGACTTTTGGCCAAAAACACCCCTTTTTGCTGAAACTCAAAAAACCGTTTTTTGTAAATATCTCAGCATCCAGTAATTCAATTTTAATGAACTTTTTTTATTTTGTAGCCCTCATTTAGCTCTACAATTTAAAAAAAAGTTCATCAAAATTGGACTACTGGATGCCGAGATATTTACAAAAAACGATTTTTTGAGCCCCTGAAAAATGGGCCAATCTGCCGAAAGTGTGACTTATGACCTGTTTTGGAGATATCCGGGGTCCTGTATAAAGTCGAGCCATATATCATTAGATTCATCTCGACAAGACATGTCGAATGGTGGTAAGAACATGTCTTTAGCATTGTTAGATCACAAGTTAATCCACGCTAAATAATTTATCAATAATTGGAATTAGCAAGCCATCTATCGGTACTAGAGACATGATCTTAGCATCATTCAACATGTCTCAGTGAGACGAATCCAATGAATATAAATTTGTCCGTATATGACCACTGAATGGCGAATAATGTCAAGTTTCACATTTTTTTCTATCTTTCTCAGTTGTATATTCTTCGTCTATTAGTAATCAAGAATCAATAAATTCTGCGTACTATTCTTATTGTTGTCTACATTTACACTTCAATTTCTACTTTTTCTGAGACAGAAGTATAAATATTTAGGTTATCTTCAGAGATTTTTACACATTAACAAAGCACATGCGATTGTTACACTATTGCATATAATATTGTCACACAGCTATATGATTCGAGTGAAATCATACTGATTTTCCAGTATACCTTTGACTTTATTTAATTATGCATTGGAAATTCATTGTTGGGTGGGTTATAGAGAGTGTACTTAAGGAGAATTACTAGTTATTGTTATCTGTCATTATAAAATGTATACTTGAATTACATATTTACATGCATGGAAGTGTCAGTTTATTGTATATATAAGTTAGCCTCTTTGTAAAATTTGTCAAATTAATTATTTACTTGAGAGTTTAAAGGACAATGATGAACACGTTTAATTAGCTTTGATATTATAATCAATATAATTTAATATAATTCCAGTTCTAAACTCAATTTTTATTCTTTCTTGGGATGTTTAAATCTATCGTAACAAAATATCTTGGTAAAACGAAATACTAACAATAGACAATTATTTCTATCTTAAATACACAAATCAAAGTCAATTATATTTTATGCATGCATCGCTACAGAAATCGTGACAATCATGTAAACGTAATAAATAAATTGAACAAGATTCTATCTGATTATTCCTTACAACTGAAATAAATGAATTTATTGGCAAACTTCAAGAGGAACAAGAAGAACGTGGATTTGACTCAGCTTTTCGGACCAATATCATATCCGTCTACACAGTTAAAGTTTTGTAAGTAAGCTTTGAACGGTTTTGGGAACAAATTCCACAATAGCCTAACAAATAATGCATTGATGAAGTAAAAAATGATGAACACAAGGTTGAAAAATTTGCAATTATGATCAAATTTATTTACTGCTGTAAAAAAGGACATGTTACTCATACTGTTTTTTTTCATGACATAAAAAGGATTTTCTTTCGGAATTTCACTCAGAAAAAAAGACAGAATAAATTATGCAGGTCATCATGCTCGTCAGAAGAAAAAGATTCTGATTAATAAGGGACATATCTGCATATAATAACAATTGATCCTCATCCTCCAATCTCAAGAAATCCATGATATCAGATATACTATCTCATAATGTAGAGTTTGCTATTACCTCACATTGTGAAGCATTTAAATTGATCGAAACGCCTTGACTCGTGAAAAAAATGCTAAGAGAAATCATGATTCAGACTGATATCATACTGTTATCTAGCCACGAACATGAGCGGATGATGCATTAAATCCTTTTTCAATCTTTGATTTACGGATATATGAATGGTGTTTACGATGAGAAGCAGGAAAGAAGGAAAAGCACAACAAACATGACAGCACAGAAAAGTATTAATAAACACCTATAAAATATTAGACCATTTTATTGTGAGAAAATTTATCAGTCTTCTCTAGAGCTCTGAAGTAATTTTCAAGTAATCACGATCATGTTTATTTTCTTTTTTATCAGGGTGACATTTATCTGATTCGTTAGATTAATATCTCCACTTATGTAACTGATTAATTTAGTAAAGCCATCTATAGATATTACTTGAGGGAATTTAATAGACCTTAGTTGACATTTTCTTGTATGATTTTTTCACATAATCGGTCATCTTTATGTGCGTACAGGACGAAAAAATTAAATTATCTGGTGACTGGTGCATGTGCATGATAAATTGCAAAAATAGCTTCATTTCAATATGAAATAATGAACAAATATGTGAATAATTTTTTTAAAAGTTTATTATGATGACAAATCTTATTTATTTACTATTGCTATAATACATTACTATTTTAGTTATTTCGTATATTATAATTTTACGCGTTAGATCATTATTCATCTGTTAAAAACTCAAATTAGTTAATTCAACATAATTCTTTTTTTGTTAAATATAATTTGCCTAAATTAACATAACTTGAATTCATTCAAAATATGTAATATAATATAGTACATTCAATAAATGAAAATAGAATACAATACTGTATATACAATATATTAAAACTACAAAGCTAAAGATAAGAAGTATTACCCCTAGCAGATAATAATTAAAGAAATAATAAGTACTGTAGTATTAGAT